ATCCATTCCGGGTCCATACTGCATGAAAAAAAAAAAAAAAAAAACAAACAAAAAAAAAAACATAGGCATCACAAACACAGACGAAGTACGGAACTGTGACCGTGAGTCCACGAGTCATTGCGGAACGACAGTCAAAGCGGACACCGACGCAAGACGGACTGCAAGTTGTTTCGTTTGCCACTTTCGCGCCGTTGAATATGATCGACAATATTAAACTTTGTTATTGTGTTAGTTTTTTTCAGTTTCTGTTTTTGCCTATCTTCGTTGTGGCATGTCATTAAAGTCGTCGCCACATGAATGGCGATCCTCGGCCTTTCGTTGATGAAGCGCAACACTGCATCTCTGATTTCGTTGCATATATGTCTGATATACTTCAACGTTGCCCTTTGCATGGTGGTCTCTTGCTCCATCGATGACGCCTTCTTTCGTTCAATTCGTGTCGCGCACCGTGTCAGGCCACCATTAGGAGAAAACGCCACGCATGCCACTGATGTCGCACGCCCACCCTCCCCCTACATGTGAACTATCCCCAACCCGTAAAACGCTTTGGTCCACTTGCCATTGCCTTGCCTTGCGTTGTTTGCATCATTCCCCGCTGTCTTGGCGAGGTTGAAAACTTGTAGGCGCTCCTCGTCGTACCACAACTTAATCGAGGGCTCCAAAACCGTCCAATCGATTGTCCGCACACCCACAACCCTCATTTGCGTTCTTGTTTTCTATGAGAGAAGGTCCTCCCATCTCACCGGCGTCCCCCATTTCTCATTAGGCTTCCACTCCGATGATGCAGATGTTCTAAACACAGCAAAAAAAAAAAAAAAAAAAAAATGCAATTCAATCGAACAATCAGCAATGTGCTTTGTGTTGTTCGTATTGAACATATAATTGTCACTCATACTCCTTCCCTCGTCGCGTTTACACAGATGTGTCTGAATCAGATCTCACATCGGGCGTTGACGCGTGCATCTTATCGTGCGTTGATGAAGAAATCTCTTCAGGGACGGCCAGCGACAACTGTGCATTGAAAGCTTATCGTTTTGGGATCCGCATACCCGTTTCAGAACGTTTATTGCTGGACCATGCCTTCACAACGACGTCGAGGTCTTGCCACCCGTCGTTTGTTTCGGTTTCGACCTTCCATGACTTTGCCCATGCGCCCACATACAGCTTTGTCAAATCGCGCCCCGTTCTGCAAGGAGTCCAGTACTTGACACGGATGCGATTATCGTCCAGCTCCTGAACTCGTCCAATCCAGAATGTGCAGCCCTTTGCAACATACTCATCGAGCGCGCAGAACACGACGAAGTTGTTCACGGCGACAGACTCGTGCGGTTTGAACTCCGGCTTGGGAGCGTCTTTTTTGTAACCGACGAAGCAAGGTTTCCTCGGTGGCGAGTCGAGAACATGCAGCGCACGTAACGAGAGATCTTGTTTATCGGGCATGGGGGCTGGCCAGAAGGCACCTTGAAGGGGCACCGTGCCGCTCTCCTCTTGCGATATGTTTTCAAACTTTTTGAGATGGTCGGTCCAATAGCTCAAGCGTCTACGAGATATATATTCTTATTATAGATTTATTATAGATATATTCTTATTAATATATTATAGATATAGATAGAGATCTATATCTATTAGAATGCACCGTGTCAAAAACCATACTAATTTCCTTATCTGAAAAATATATTTTTTTTAACAAAGTTAAAAGCGTCATGTTTCGTTATCCCTCAATCGTTCTACTTTGAGGTAAGACGCTAATTTAGACAACAAGCTATCCTTGTCACTCATTACTGAGTATCCTCAAAATCTAGACATTCTCGACACACTTGCAAGAGCAGCGCTCTACCAGCTGAGCTATACCCCCATCATCCAAACACTCAATGTAATTTCACTCATCTAAGAATCAATAGATCAACTAAGAAATAGAAAGAAATAAAATAATTTACATTACAGAATATTACTACTAATTACTACTATTAGATAACGCTCTTGTGTGTTCGTCTTGCGTCACCCATTGGTTTTGTGTATTCTCCGACGATTTATGAAGAACACGTATCCCCGCCATCCCGTTAACGAAATCGCCTGCCAGTGGATTAGGCGACTGACGACAAGGTTGGAAATCCTATTGAGGCCCTGCCCACCCGTTGTTTGCATCCTTTACAAACCAATACACAGGGCCAGTGTCCGGCTCCCACTTTTTGTCAGTGTAGAACTCCTTATACATCATGGCGGGATTGTCCCCATCCATGTAAAATCGGAAGAGGTGTGGCATGGCATGACCCTTGATTTTATGGTCGATGTATGGATCTATGACGGTTTTCCAGTCAGCAATTTCAGTGAGCAATGTGCAATTGACTTCCTCTTCGCAGGACGCTTTGAGGACATCGAAGAGTTCATCCATGGTATACGCATCGCAACCGCTCAACTTTTTTGCAAACAAGTTGAACTTCGCATCTATGTCTGTGTATGTGTGACCCACTATCATGAACCCCATTTTGACGACCTCGAATATACGAAATTTGACTAGCATGGCCATGAAGGCGAACACATACTTGTTTTTGTTTTGTCCCCCACAGTTGTCGGCCTGCACCCGCGATCGAGGCACCTAAAGCTAAGGTCAGCGAGAAGGATGCCGTCGCCGTTGCGCATCAGAAAACGTGGCAGAACTTCCTGAGGGCCTGCATGGGGAAGGCGTGCGACAAGGCGTTCGTGAAACAGGCGCTCGACAACGAATACAACAAGGATTGGAGTAACAAACTTCGGGGGTACCTGAACCTCGCCACGTCCACCCGCACGGTTTGGCCGCTGGTGGAGAAGTTATTCTCGATGTTCGAGGAGGGTAAGCTGCCAATCGGCGACGGCAAGATCCCACTTGAGATGTTGGGGAGGATGGAGGGGCGCCTGCCCGGCCCGTACACTGACGAGAACAAGGGACAACGGACTCTGTACCATTGCATATATGGGAGAGGTGGTCCCAAGGGCTCCACTGTGTCCTGGAAGGATTTGTCTCCTACGTACTTCAAAAACTTCGGAGACATGACATGTCGCGAGAGAGAAGTCGCGATACTCCTGCTCATGTCGGGGAAAGTGGTAGCAACAAAAGTGAAAGTCACGCCTCAGAGGGTGAACACAGAGTGCCTCCTCGACATTATGCGCAAGGAGAGATAAATGGTCCGCATGTTCAACTACGTCATGTTTCGTGCCGAGGGAAGGGCAGGGGACGAATGGAACGACGACTTCTTCATGTCGTAAAAGGACTTGGAAGAGAGGTATGCTTCAAACGGGTTATGCGCAGATGAATGGGAGACGCAACGGGAGAAGTTGCATAGCAACTTAGTGAAGACGATCCCTCGGCGACTTGGAGGAGTGGAGGAGGCGAGACAAGGTGCGGGCTTGGGGCCTACAGAAGTGATGTACAAGGGGGCTCCGTTTCACTTCAAGGTCTTTATATACACCACGATCGATAAGCTCGATATGCTTCGAGCGAAGGTGAAACGGATCGCCTCCAGTGCACACCATCTTGTGTGGGACAAACTCCGCAGGCAGACCACATTGCTTCCTGTATGCATGCGGTCAAAGGAGGTTATGGAGGCGCCCGTCGACATCGTCGCAGCCGCACAAAAAATGGCATGCAGGCCCGCCATCGTGGACATCTCGGCCGCAAATTTCAGCATTGCATGGACCTCGCAGGACTTCGATGCACTGTACGCAATGATGGCGAAGTGTTGTGGTCCAAATTGAGTCCTCTTCTTCTTTGCACCACAGAATGTGCAAAGTGATGTCTTGCGTCAATTGTACCGTTGGGAGGACATCGAGCTCATCCCCGGGTCATGGAAACGCATGGACAGGCCGCCGAGCGACGTCACAAGGTACGGCAACATCACTACGAGCAGTCGGAACCTGATGGCGATCGTGCTGCACGGTGAAGGAGGGGATCTGAAAAAAGTAATTGTCGCACCCTGACTTCAGAACGATCTCACCGAAGTGCATGTTGTGGAGGAAAAGTTCGGGAAGTGTCTCGGAAAACACGATGGCGTCGAAGGCGACGAAAGTGCCGCATATTCAATTTGGGAGCGAGAACCTGGCAAGTTGCGGAAGTTGTGCAGTTCATTCGTAGGAGAGGCGGAAGGTGTGCTTTTGCTGGGTAGGGCGCACGCGGGTCTTGTATGGAAGTTCTTGCTTGCAGGTAATAATGTCATTGCCTGTGACGAGTCGGCCAAGGACATTGCATACTTGACAAAGTTCGTCGACATACTTGTTAAGGATGGGAGATTCGAGTGCCACCTCGAGAAGCCGCGTGCCACACATCGCACGAACAGGGATATGTACCACAAGTTGGGACCGAAAAGACTGAAGGTGTGGGAATACCTGTTCCGCGATGCGCCGGATGAACACCTTGATGGGGGATACATATATAGGAAAGCCAAGGTGATCGAGGCCCTCAAACATTATCACGGAGCTCTAACTGGCGCCTTCGAGACATTCGTTGCTCGATGCGAGATCTTGAGGTTTGATCTTCACAAAGATAAACTGACGTTTAAGGACTATGCAGACCTCGCTAAATCGGGTGAAGGCTTTAACCCCGTTGACAACGAGGAAGACTCGTCGGACTCCGACCTCGAGATCGAAAAGGACACCAATGCAACCGGGTGGTGTGGGAAGTCCGCTCCCATGGAGCACAACGTCAAGGGATATGGACCGGGTCAATCAGAGGGATGCTCGAACCTGCCACCCGCGAACAGTGTGGCCTCGGGTGTGGACCGGGTTGTATGTACGCCTGTGGAAGATGACGAAGACGATGACCTTGATATTCCTGCTCAGCCAACGAAGATGGCGCCAGGCGATCCGATTCCTCCCAGATTTTGTGTGGATCCAAACAATGTGTATTTCTTGGATGACAAATACTCCTGCACTAGTGAGGACAAGTGAGGCCATGATATCATTTGGCATGACGACATTTTCGAGCCATGTATCCAAGGCGGGGAGTGGAAAATGGCGGTGAAGTATGTCTCGAAGGGTTGGAGACCGTTTGCCCGCATGCGAAAGGACAGCTGGCTGAAGACGACGGAGCAATCAATACTATACCGCTGTCAGAAAGAGAACCCCGGGGAGAGTGAAACATCCATCGCGGCAAAGGCGAAACAATTGTTCGACGCCTTGGGAGCCACTCGGCAGTTAGAGTACTCACACAAGTTTTACGAGCTGCAGTCGATCCCCTCGTACGACAAGATTGACTGGAAGGTTGAGTGCGTCGCCGCGCTCGAGAGCATGGACGTGGACTCCCGAGAAGATGCCGCCCCGGTGCCCGAGGCGGCCACAGGGGACACAATGGGTGAACAAAGGGAAGATGGCGGGACAACGTTGGGCGTGAAGCCTCCGTTGCCAGAGGCGGGGAACACGCCCGYAGGCAAAAACACCATCGGAGCCATCTCTGTCGCAACGGGGGATACATCACAAGGTGAAAAAGTGTCACTCGACAAGCCGGCAGATGCGGGCGCTACATACGGGAGTCTCCTCGCGACAGGTGCGGCGCTGGCAGGCACATCGGAGATGGTGTCAGAATCCACTGCTGGGATGGGCGTCACGGGGATGTCATTGCATCCGCCCACATGCACTAGCAAAGGTGACGCACACTGTACAACAACACCACAGGGAGGGGTCACAGGGGATGACGGGAATGGGGGAAATGCAGGGGGGTCTCCACGTTCTCGTAATATTGAGGACATGACGACGGACAATGAGGATGGGGTAGAAGGCGGAAAGGACGTGAGCGATCCCACGCGTACAAAAAATGAGGGGTGAGACAGGGAATGAACTTGAGGGGAATCCTCTTCGCGGGGAAATTTAATGTTTTCGTGTGTGTGCTCATTTGTTTGAAATCTGGGTTTGTGGGCGAAATTTGTTCCTGTGTACAATCGACCTGCAGACTCATTAGTGTTCAATTTTCGGGATTTGACCTTTTAATTGTTGACAAGAAAATTGTGTGGTGAACAAGAGCGTGTCGTAGTATGCGTGTGTGTCTCTCTATATTCGTCAATATGTTGCGTTGTGTATATGCATGTATGCCGTTGGGGTACGGTAATGAAAGGGGGCAGAAGTCAGGATTTATTGGTCCCGAAGTGTTGTCGTCCATCTAAGTGTAAGTTTAGCGAAACATTGATGACGTATCTTGAATACATCATTTTCGTTTAGCATGTTATGCTAAGGCACTTGCCCATGTACAAGTATCTCAAATGGTCGCCCTCCCCGGTTTTTACACCGCGTGCCCACCCGTTTCTTACTTTATTGTAAGGGCGACCATTTTTTACACCCCTGTCCGCCTCGGTCACCGTTGTTTACACCGTCGTCGATGTCGTATTCGTCGTGCTTGTCGTGTGCAGTGCAAATTACAACAACGGATATAAGAAAGTGCAAAAGAGGGTGGACAATGCGCCTCGCAACATCGTCTTTATCAGAGAAGGAGATGAAAGCACTCTCACATGTATGCCGGGAGTACGGGAAAAGGTTCCCAACAGCGAGCACACACAATCATGGGACGAACGAAGTATTGAAGCTAACTCGAGACGAATTTATTTTACTAGTCGACGAGCGAAACTGGTTAAATGACAACGTCGTCAACTTCTACCTGAACCTCATCGCACTAGACAACTAGTGTAGAATCACACACGTAGAATGCGACGCCGAGAACGAAACCATGATTAGAATCGGAAATGGGTCGCATTCCTAGAATATCAGTGCTGAGTTCGTTTTTCTTCGCTAGACTTTTCGACAGCGAAATGAGATATCAAGAGCGAGAGGTGCAGCACTGGTCGAATGACATTATAATAAGTGACATGGACTTGATAATTGCCCCTTTCCATATCGCACACACGAACCACTTGACGACAAAGAACTGACAGCCAAAGTGACCGGCGGATTTGCAAAGTTTTTGTTTAAAAGATCGATTCAGCAAGGCAAAGAGGTGAACACGAAACCGTTTAATCACATATGGACCGTAGAGGACGTCCCGAAACAACGTGACACTAGCTCGTGTGGGGTCTTCATGCTCGCATACGCATCGCTACTGGCAAGGGGTCACCTTCCGCCTTTCTCTTTCACCGTTGATGACATACCCGCAATACGTCGTCGAATGGCTTTGGACACAGTGGCTCGCGAGTAATATGAACCTGCTGCTGGATATTGTGATTACATGCGGATGGATGTGGGTAACATTAAATTGTTTGTCATGGAAACAGTGTATAGAAGATGACAACCATTGCTCCAAGTTCCTGCCCCTTACCCCTTGTCTTTTACCCCTTATCCCTTACCCCCAAACCCCTTACCCCTTACCCCTTAACCCTTACCCTTGCAATGCTTGCTGCACTGCTTGCACGTATACCCATACCCCAAATTCAAATGCATTTTTGACCCTAAATCACCACGAAAATGACAATTTAAATTTCGTTCAAAAACTATAAAATGTCCGTTTTGACGAAATCGCTGTTTCAGGCTTTTGGACCCCAACCCATGGAATGGGCAACACCGACAGGGCCGGTAGATGAGGAAATAACGGACAACACGCTTAGAGCCTGGGGGGCGCAAAGCGAAGACGACGTCGAGACCAAATTGAGAGACCTTGCCGAATGGTTACGCGGCCAACTTCAGGCATTGTACACAGACCAATCGGACTCTTATTGGGACAATGCCTATGTCCAACTTTTCTCCCTATTAGACGAGAGCCCTAGCCTGAAACACGCCTTGGGGCAAGGTCTATCTCCGAACATGGACTTGAAACAAGTGCTTTACAGAGTCTGGAGTATAGTGCATAAAAATTCCAGCCCCCGGTAGAGACACCCCCCCCTCCCCCTCACCCTCCTGACCACACACAGCCAGACAGACACTCGACACAGTCCAACCAGGAAGAAGGCGTAGTCTCAAAAGCAGAGGATGAGTTAGGGACTTCAAAGCGAGCTAAGATGCGCCACTTAATCGAAAGAGGGCTTTACCACAAAAGCTTGCCGGAGAATGATAGAGTCCTGGTACTGCCAATTAGGAAAAAGATCGGGAGATGGGAGCTGGGCCTGTCAATGGCCGACGAGGACGACCTATATGCCCCCACCTATGGCAGAGTGACATTACACGACTGACACATGCAAAAAAAAAGGGTGCTGCGATCCCACAACATTATGGATTTCATCACCAATCACTACGAACCAGGAGCAACCGCAACCATCAATGTGACATCGGAGAACTTGAGAATGACATATAAGGACCTCTATGTGAGGTTCGAAGACAACAAAGAAGCTGGATTGAAATGGCACACGCATAACATGCTCCTGGATACCCAACAACTTAAAATAAAACCCATCAAAGTCTGGTTAACAGACGATCTCTTCACATGCATCTGCTCAATGCTGAGGAAAAATATCCTCAACAAGGGAGTAGACTGGGAGATACAGGAATGGACTCCCTTGCATAGTAAAAAACAAAAAAAAGTTCGGACAAACGGGACGCATAACTAACGATGGAGTGGGTGGAAGTGGTATATGGTAGAAACAGAAAATAGACACATACCCTCTAACAAGCGGACCTGGATTTAAGATCGATTAACGTGAATGGTCTGACATCACGCAATCCAGAGAAAATCAACGCACTATGGGACTTAATGCGGGGGGTGGGGAGTCGTACATAGCCAGACGTGATCTGCATCCAGGAAACCCACCTAATGGATACACCGGAACACCATAGGGCCCACAGGCAGGCCTGGCCTTATCAAAACTATCAAGCATTCGCCCCCAGGCCGAGGAGTGCAGGGGTAGCAATCTGGATCCCGCCCGAGTCACGCCTGGAGGTGCTTAACTGGGAGAAAGACGAGGAGGAAGGAAGATGGGTCAAGGTGTTGGGAATCCTGGAACTAGAAATTGTGAGCGTTGTATCCCTGTATGCCCCCAACGAATCCAGTGAGAGAAGGGTCTTTTTCGAGAAAATCGAAAAAATCCCGAACCCCGGAATCCCGACGATCCTAGCGGGCGATTTTAATGCGGCGCCGGACAAATGGCTAGACCGCTGGAAGATATATCCGGCCACCGTGCGCAATGCAGAAGAGGATGAACAAATGATGAGGGTCTTGTACACCTCGCTTGCACTTTTTGATACATTTAGGCGTACCTCCCCGACTGAAAAAACTTTTACCTGTTTTCGAAATAATGACCCGACAAGACTTTCTAAATCCCGAATCAATCTCATCCTGGCATCTGAAGACCTGGGAGGAGGGCTTACTACAACAGCCATATTACCAACCAGCCCGCACCCAGGCCTTGACCACAGGATGTATATGGTTGTATGGACCTCCGGAAAAAAACAGACCAAGGAACTAGCTATTACAAACTTAACACCTCGCTTCTCAAGTCCCAAGTGTTCCTCACATATCTACAGCAAGCATGAGACTACTAGAAAGACCAACGCCCCCACCACGACTCAACAATCAAATGGTTCAACAACGGACTCTTCTTCCTAGCTAGAAAATGTAATGAATACTCAAAACTTTTGGCCGCTCAGAGACATCAGCAGGAGATCACACTAATGCACAACTTGGCAGACGCAGAACAAAAACAAATATCGCAAGGGCAGGAACAACCATCCCCCGAATTAAAGAACTAGATACTAGACCTGAAAAACCAGCTCTTGCAACATGCACGGTATCAATGGCAGGGAGCCCAAACGAGGGCAAGACTGTCCAGATTCTCCACAGAAGGCCTGATGAATTCAAAAAAATTTGGCTTAGCCAGGACACGCCTCAAAAGAACCACGATTAAGGCACTCTACGAACCAAACGCCAGAGAGGCGGACCCGACTGTGACCACGACGAGGTGCACCAAAATCACAAATGATTTCTATAAAGATCTCTTCTCCTTGCACATAGATAGGTCAGACTCACCACACACAATCACCTGCTAACAAAATTCCTCCAACCACTCAACAAAACCCTAACCGATGAACAACGGGAATCCCCATAAATTTCACTCTCCAAACAAGAAATATGGACTGCCCTCCTCCAGATGAAGGAAAAAAAAACGTTTGGAATTTGACGGTTTTCCTAAAGAATTCTGGGAATCCACATGGGGTTTCCTGAGCCAAGACATCATGGATTTCTATAAAAAAGTATGGCTCACAGGAAGAATGGGGGAAAGGGTGGGGCAAGCGGTACTGACCCTCCTATACAAGAAAGGGAACAAAATTGACATCAGAAACTACCGCCCGATCACCCTACTCACAGTGGTCTATAAGATTATGTCTAAAGCCTTAGCTAATAGGATGATCTCAGTGATTGTCATGGACGAAGTTATCCATCCTTCACAAACAGGCTTCATGGAAAATAGAAACATACAAGAGAACATCCTGTTAATCCATGAAGTACTCCAACTCACAAAACACTCCTAGCAGAACGCAACCCTCGTCTTCATAGACTTCGAAAAAACCTATGACCATGTGGACTGGCTGTTCTTGGACAGGTGCCTGGAAAAAATAAAATTTGGACCGGATTTCATACGCTGGATACGAATTCTGCATCATAACGCAACAACTTGTGTTCAGATCAACGGAAGCTTGACACCTCCTTTACGTCTGGAATGGTCGGTTCGACAAGGGGACCCAATTGCCCCCTTTCTCTTCCTGGTCATCATGGAGGCGCTAGTGGCTACCCTCCGGGCAAACAAGAACATCACCAAAATCCAAGTCACACACATCCCGGAGGACGCAATCCCCATTTGCTCCCTTTTTGCACACGACCTCACAATACTGGCAGAAGCCACACACAACAACATGGAGGAAATCCAATCAATGATGAATAA